ACCTGCCGAGAGGGGGGGGGGGGGAACCTATGGGGCAGCCCAGGCTTCCAGACCGAGATGCTGGAAAGCTCCTCCCTGGGGTGGTGGTGGCGGAGGGCCGTCTCGAGACCCTCTTGGTAGGGTGGGTGCAATATTCTCCTCTACTTCTCGGGAAGCAGATCCTCGCAGATTCTGCAAAGGACAACCGTTGCTTCCTGTCGATTCCTCCTTCGAGCGACGGGGGGGGGGCATGGATCAAAAGACATCTTAGGGGCGAATAGTGGGGCGTTGCATTCATTATGTGGAAGGTGGCCTATCGTCCGTCCAATTTTCCTTGATCTGTGGCGCACCCAAGCAGAAGGAAGGGGGGGGGGTAGGGATGGCAAGGTGGAAAAGTGATGTCTCTCCAGCGAATGGTGGGCGCCAGCAGACATACCAGGCTGTTTTCGGTCACTCCAATTTTTCAAATTATTTGCTCTCTCTTAGTTCCAGCAAAAGAATCTAAGGACGCTCAACTGCAGCTGGATGTATCGGTCTAAAGCGGGTACCCGACACGAGGCCCGTCGCGCGGCGAGAAGGAAGAGACGCATACGGGTCAGCGGACGCGCGTACTGTGGCGATTTGGCGTCAAGTTGAATAGGGTGTGCTTTAATGCGTCCCAAATTGATCAATACGCGCTGCAACTCGTCCGCTGACACATCTACGTTCCCGCCTACTCGCCTCCAGTCGGGTAGCCGTCTAATTGAATATGTCAACACGAAATGCCTATAAGAGCGGTCTTCTTGGTGTGAATAATTGAAGGCAAAAAGCACGAAAAGGTGGCCGCCAATGGGAATGAAAGATCGAGGTGGTGAAGGGTGCAGTGGTCAAAAAAAGAGTAGAGAATCAGCAAAGCGGAGCCCTTGTTTTCCCCATTGGTTTCCGCTTTGGACGAGTCATATCGGTGCAGGCGTCATCAGTGTTCGCAATAAACGTTCGGCTCTGCATCTCTGCTAAAATGGCTAGAGTCCGACAGCGGAGGATCAGCAGGCGGGACGACCAATCGATGGACACGCAGAGGAGGGAGGAGGGGTCGAAAGGTTCGAGGAAGGCGTTGCCTGGTCACTGCGCACGCATACTTTGCTTGCAAAAACGCCATAATTCGGTTCGTTGGAGCCCAGAAATTCTCCATAGAAGGCACATTTTCCCTTGTTCAATACGAAATTAATCGTGCCACCTGCCTTTGAATACTTTTTTCTTCAGGTTTGAGCGTCCTTGTGCCGATATACCTGACAGAGGTATCCCCGACAAATCTTCGTGGAATGTTAGGTTCACTGCATCAACTAAATATCACAATAGCTATTCTGGTCTCACAGGCAAGTGTCATGACATAACTTTCAAACCAACTTTCAGAGTGATGCGCTCATCGAATGTGAGCTTCTGAAAAATAACGAGACGCTATTCACCCGCTAGTGTCCCCCTGTTGAGGTTCGAGTTAAAACATCGATTTTACTAGCAAAAAAGTTTTTCCGAGCACCTTGACCATCAGCAATTAAGCCTTAGTTTGGCGCAAAACGCCGACTCGCGCGATAGGCGCCGAAGCTAAAATGCTTTGGCCGGCTGATGAAGATCCCCGTCACAACAAACATGTCAAAGTTGGGACAGATCAAAGTGGCGACGACTGACAAAGACAGCGGACCCCTGCGACTGCGCGGGAATAACGCCAGAGAGAAGGAGAAGCACAAGCTATTCGTCCTCCAGGCTTGCAATCCCGCTGTCTGGAAAGCTGTGAACTATCGCTGCACTCTCCTTCGGGCGATGGAACGTGACTGAACGAAATGTCTCGCCACAGGATGAGATTCGCTGGTTTTGAATTCGTACCGCTGCACACGCGTAGGCGATGTTTTTGACCAAGCATTCTCGACATAAAATTTTGGTTCGAAAAACAACTGCTCACTGACACTTGAGATTTCTTTATATGCGCCCATAGTCGATCTCTCTAATAAGCGCTCAATTTCGTAAGGGGTTCAGCAAAGAAAGAATGCCAGCGAAAGCTGAGCGACATTTCTTATCGGCCAACCTAATGGCCGATGTCAGACTTTGCGATTGGAGCGATTTTGCACCAATTGCAGGAGCGACGGATCGCTTGAGCGATGCGAGCGACGGGAGATTTACGAACTGATGGCGCCGAATTATCGTTGGTCGGCGGTGTAAATCTCCCGTCGCTCGCATCGCTCAAGCGATCCGTCGCTCCTGCAATTGGTGCAAAATCGCTCCAATCGCAAAGTCTGACAGCCGGCCAATACAAGGAACACTTTATTGACGTTTCAGATATTTGGTTTACCGCAACTGCTTGGCACACATGATAGATGGCCGTACATTTTCTGGTTCACCGTTGTACCGGCGCTGCTGCAAGTTATCACATTACAAATGGTTCCGGAGTCCCCGAAATTTCACCCTTGTCGTCAGAGGAAATGTGGACAAAGCGAACGAACCGATTTAGAGCAATTAAGAGGAACCAAAGACGTGAGTTCTGGTTTCCCTAACATTCTGATAGTAGCTTATCACTCAAATGAGTTTTTAACACGTTGACGACCGTGTGGTATGATGTCATACCACACTCTTTCGGCCACGTGGGACCGTGTGACATGATGTCATGTCACAGTCTTTTTTAAGCTGGTTTTCAAACATTTTAGGTAACTTATTTACGTGATGTATGCGCCATACTTAGGCATTGTTACAAAAGGCGTGGTCCTGGAAAGAAGCTTCGGTTGATGGGCTATCGAGTTTTTCTAAAAATGTTTGAATAATGATCAAATCACAGGAATCGCTAAAATGGCCAAAATCGCATAATCGGAGACCTACCACACAAGAAAGATAACACACACTTCCTGAGAAAGGATGCCAGCACTCGCGACTGAGAAATGAGTCTCTACCTGTACATGATGTCATGTCACACATTCGCGCGCGTTAAACACTAGTGCGCGCGTCCCACACGCCGTGACGCGAAAAAGCGCGGGTCGTCAGCGTAGTAAAGGCAAGTAAGCCTTGATGTAAGCCTTTGGACAAAGAGCGCAAGTTAGCCGACTTTGTTTTAGCAGATTCACCCCAATAAAGTCGATAGTTTAACACTTCAGGGGGCATGGCGCTTATCAACTGGCCGTGATAGAACGCCCAACCCACTACTGAAATGTCTCAACGGCTGGGAATGGCGTGCTGCGACGGGCACGATTTTAAGCACCGACTTAATTTTAAGGTGGGGTTCAGTGGGACTCCTTAGTACGACAGTGGCTGGGAAACGCAGTCAAATATAGATATTATTGGAGGAGCGGCGTTAGGAAGCACGCCTCATCACACTTCAATGTTTGGTGTTACAGAATCTGCACGACTACTAACTCTCCACGTCGATCCTAAATCTTGAAATTGACTCTGATCCGACCTTCCCCATTTTCAAGCTGCCGCAACAAAAATTTTATGTCTGCTGTAAATCGCATGCAGGATCTTAGTATGGTCAGATACCGATGCAAAAAGTGTGTTGAGGTAAAAACTATGAAACCGTCTGAGAAAACACATTATTTCCATCAGACGAATTGACCATTCGATGATGTGTTCTCCTTAGCTCGGCATAGAGCTTGGAGTAGGCCTTACATAACTCACAACCCAGATCGCGATCTGTAAACAATACTTGTGGGCACTAGCTCCTCAAGACTTAAAGGCACTGCCCACGGAAATGGAGTGCATGACTGACGCGGCAAATGTGCGCTGCTGTTAGTCCTGTCAAAAAGCCACATGGTTTTGCCACAACGGAGTTCACACGGCTACGGACGAGGAATTGGCACGCCTTGTTCGAAGATGGACACCTTGCCGCTCACCCGAGCGAACTATGTCGTGGACAGTGCCTTTAAGGTATAGGAACTAGGCTACAGGTAGCGCTGAACGATATCTCCAAGAGGTATGCTATTAGCTTAGCGAAATTCGGAGATTATGATTGTGCTTTTTTTCCATAGTTTTTCATGATTGGATTTTTGTCTTGTTGATAATTAGTGTTGAATACAGGTTGGTGCTGAAGTAGATGCGATGAAAGATGAAGCGTCTGCGGCGAAATCTGCTGCAGCCGAGAAACCTTCGATGGGCGATATGTTCAAAGGATCGCTAAGGTGGCCTATGACAATTGCGATAATGCTGATGCTTGCACAGCAGTTCTCAGGTAAATGATTAGCTCTGCGTCATTGAGGATACACTTGGTAAACTTCCAGCCCGAATGAAGTATATGTATCGATAAGAGGGAATAAGTTCGAGGTCAAGTGATAAGGTTCCAATGTTATAGGACCCTGCTCAACTCAAAGGCAAACCCCGGGATTAGCCCGACTAGTAGGAAGGATACCGTGAGGGGATTTTGGGGTACGTACCTCTATAGATCATGTCATCTTCCTTGCCAAATTGCGCGATTAGGGCGCTATGTCGATTTAGAGATCAGCGTGCTCTCTCGAACGGCGTGCTCTCTCGCGTGTTTTGTCTTCTTTGATCGCCCTGTCTCGCCATCGTACCACATCCGACCTTACTGAGGTTAAGGCCTTAATTTTAGCGTTTCCGATGATCTCTATTCTCCTTTCCACTTTCAGTTCATTCAGTCACTAGTCTTATCCCGGTGATTGCCTTTAACCGCAATATTCATCCCCCCTCATGTTCATGGAAGCGCATCGACAAAGGGCGGAGGGTTGCAGAGGGTTGTATTAGTGAATCTGTTCTGGTTGGTTCTGGATTTGAAGGCACGCTCATCTGTTCCATACCGAGAATAGTAGACAGGCGGACAAGCGTTGATGTCGCGCCCCTTTTGCGGCTTGAAAGTGCGCGACAAAGGCGCTGGAAGCTCGCTCGACCCGCAATCACTCCTTCGTCCGCAAGCCCCGCCTTCCGCTGTCGGTTGCCACGTGACGCTGCTTGAAAAGCGCGGGCGCATTTGCATTTGCATTCACGCGAGTAATTTCCCGAGAAACTGGAAGAAGGAAGATTTGTAACGAGTGTGGTCCAGGAGTTTGGTGTTGCTCACACCATTGTTTTGTGCGCATAGGAGCAATATGGACTGCAGCCACTGCTGCCCCTAGAAGAGTAGGTGGTGGATCACGATCAACTGCAACAGCAGGTGATTGCTAAGTTGCGAACAGGCAAGAATTGACCTACGTCAGTCACAGGCTGCAGTTGCAAAAACATTTATCAGGATTGCACGTAATCCCAGGCGAACAGTGGTACAGTGACCGTATAGGCATGGTCTCTCTGACCGACCAACAGTATCTGGTGTTCCTTCGAAACCCGCGCATCGGCGGAACATTTGCTAGGTGCCGGGACATTAGCGATGGACCACCGATTTGGATGATCGCGTGTTCTTCTCAGTTAAGATCAAATTGAATGTAAGTAGTGATTCTGGACTTACCCGCATGTGGCGAGAATAGGAACACGTAATGCACCCAGGACCATCGTTCAACATGATTGTTTTGATAGTCCATTCGATATGGTGTGGGGAGGCATAAAGTTGCAAGGGCGTACCAACCTCCCAACTCCTGATCGCGGAATGCTTTCTGATCGACGTTATTGTGACGCTGTACTCCTCACTTATGTGCATCTTTTCAAGGGTGCCTTTGACCTCAACTTCAATCGTATGGAGGACAAGGTGCGAGAGCATCGAGCAGCCTAGGTGGAAAACTCTTGGAAAGCGAGGATTTCCGGCGATTGGTGAAGCCTGCCGCTTCCTCCAGTCAAATTCTATGGAGCACGTGTGGCGTGCATTCAGGAGAGCTATTGTAGCGCATCCCATGCGCCAACAATGTCCAGCAGTTGTCAATCGCGGTCTTCAAGGAATGGATCGCTTCTCCACAAGAACTCTTAACCAACCTTGTGGCCAGTATTGGAGCACGTGGCAGAGCATGCTTTGCAGTCCGTAGTGTTCATACACCCATCAAGAACCAGCTCCTCTCTTTTGAATGTCTACCATGAGTTGGAGTAGCCTCACCTCGACCGCTTCAGACAGGGTATTTGAAGAAAAATGTCTTTTCTAATCGTCCCGTTGCGCTTTTCTGTTAGTAACTCTCTGCACTGTACCGCAACATTTACTTCTATGTATGTGCCAAATTTGATCCACCTAGGTTAGCTAGCAGTGAGATATCATGTGAAAGTTACTTCCGTCCCTAAGTTTTGCACACCAGTGTATTATACGATTCTTGCTCTCTGTTATTACTGCTGTGCCGATCATCAAAAACCCTTTTCTTCTGAAGGCAATAGCCCATACGTAACCGTAGACATATTTGCCCTTCTTTACATCCAGTTATCTTACCACCTAATCTCCACGAGTACCGCCCGTCTGAGTCTCTTACCGCGCTCTCCCAATTGAGCGATGTTACCCTTTGATCCAAAGGTGCTATTACGACTATTTGACACAGGTATCAACGCCACCATGTTTTATTCGACCTTCATCTTCAAACAAGCTGGCCTTTCGGATCAGGGAGCCGTATATGCCACCATTGCTATGGGTACGGTAAACGTGCTGATGACAATTGTGTCGGTGTGGTTGGTAAGTCAGGTTCTTTCTTGGTGGCCGTATTGAATATTTGGGCCACGGCTCATATTCCTATCCCATTTTAAAAAGAGATTTCATCTAAAGCAGTAGTGGGTGTGGCGAAAATCGTTTTGTGTAGAACGGGTTTAAACATTTCAGACAGTAAGTCAGTATCATCGTTACTTCATCCGCTGTTACTTGCAA